GCCAAACACTAACATATGTGTAAGCGGCAATCTATTATTATTATTATTAGAATATAATAAATTGCAATTTTCTTCCATATAACTCATAAAAAAAAATTATTTTTTATGGAAGAAATGTGCAGCAACCTCGACAAAAAATTCTCAGAAATCAACAATAATTTGTAGCGAGTTGAAACTTGCACGTTATTCTACTAAAATTTAATGGGCTACAAAACTGCATACTCGAAAATTTTCTAAAAATTCTGAATAAGAATATAAGAAGTTGCAAACAATACCATTTTGAACTTTGCACCTATTATTTTGTCTTTAAGTGTATGAAAGTAGGTACTCTTAAGTGCTCTGCGGATTTAAATAGTGCTTTTATTTTATAAAAAAGTGATGCATACTTATAAAATTATTAACTTTTTTATGTTTTTTTCTTCTACTTCCACCGCAAAAGTTTAAATGTTCAACATCGACAGACGACACAGCAGAGGGCGAGGCACCGCAAAGGCATAGCGTCGAGCAAATTGGGCACTAAGGCGTCGCGTTGAACAAAACAAGAAGTGAAATAGAAAAACATAGTGCAACCAAATACATAAATATTCCAGTCCAGTCCAGCGTGGAATGGTGAAAGTCACTGGCATTTTCAGTCCAACAACGAATGCGCCGAAACAACAACAGCACGAAGAACGAGAAAACTGCAAATAAACAACATTAACAAACAACCATTTGAGAGGGCAGCGGCGCAATTCTTCTACCTCTTCCACCAAGCCGCCAACTGCTCACTACCTATTTCAACAGCCACAGCGGTAACAGAAACATGAATAAAGCCAGCAAGCATATACAGAGTGGTATCGGGGTGACTACATCACCCACCGCCGTCAATGCAGTCGGCGCACTATCTACACAAAAGAATGTCATCAATTCCATAATGAGTTTTTTGCCCGACAATCGGCCCATAACATCGTTGCAAATTGTTGAGGATTATGAAAAGTATGTAGAAACTTATAGACAGCAAAAATTGTATATAAACATTCGTAAATAAGATTGCATGTGAGATACATATCTCATACATACATATATAAATATACGACACAGCTGCGTCCGAGCATAGGGTGCTTACGGCAATTCTCAAAACGAAAATTACACTTGCAGAAGTGCCGCCATTAGTCAGTTGCTTTGCTACTAAAAGTAGCTGATGGTTGCCTAAGAAAGTGGCTGCTGCTGCTTGGGCCAATTCCCGTAAGTTCTTGGCCTCACAAGCAGCGGTTAATGCTATCATTGTTGCTGTTGTCTCGGCTGCTTGGGTAGGACGTTCTTATTGTTGCTTCGTCGATTGGCACTCTTGCTTGCGGTCGCAAAATTAGCCCACAATGCGGAAGGCATGCATGAATTTTTCTTGAAATTCCCTGCATAAGTATTAGATAGTTGTATAAATGGCCCCCTTCACTTTGGTGTAAATGTCATGCTATATGCGTACAAACTTACATATGTACATATTACGTGCGTTGGATGGACGCAGTGCACTGTGGGTCGGAAATCTTGTATAGGCGAAGTAAATTTTTTTGGATGTGGTGGAAATGTACAACACACATTAGAATATGCATAAAACTTAAAGTAAACAATACAACTTAGATAAAAATAAAAAAAAATTTCTAATTTCAAGGACCTTTTAAAAAATATTCTGAGGTCCTGGTGTTAGTCGCACGGATGTCTCGTGAGATGCGCATCACTTGGTGCAGTTACGATGTAGATATTGTAACAGGTTTAACTCTGACTTCACCTGATTCTCAAACCTACTGCAACTGAATGTATAAGAGCTGGATACATCGATTTTTTTTGATCTTCCAACATTTTTTTCTTACTTTTAACCGAGTTAAAAAATGGGAGGAAGTCATCAATTCATCGGAATGTATGTATGCTATCGCATAACTTTGGACAACGTTAACTGATTTCTATAAAGGAAAGGTGGTACCTCAGAGGTGGTTTTTGGTTTAGATCCGATCATTGGATCATGAAAAAATGAACGGTACTCTAAAATTTGTATATGAGAATTGAAGTTGGTTTTGTTTTTTGCTTAAAAATTACTTATTTACAATAAATTGATTTCCAGAATCAGGATCAGCACAATATTAAGTAAGCTGAAAGAGAGCCCATCAAAAGGAGTATGTATTTTCAATTCTGTTCGTCCGATACGGAGTTTCTTTGTAATCGACACGTCGCTTTGTTTGCCTCTCTAACCGGTTCTCCAATTCTGGTACTAATTCCTAGGCTTTCGAGAAACGATGATCATGTCGGGTGTCGCCTTTTTCCCTACCAATTGTAGCATCAGCTCCTATCGTATTCTAAGCTCCTAATCGAAAAACTGAGGAGCATTCCAGTATTAATATGAGACTAAGCAGTGGAATGAGTATATCTATATATATTAATAAACAACTCACTTCAAGGCTTTACAGATCAGTGACCCTGTCGGAGCACATATCTATCTTCAAAACGGTCTGAGTATAAGTTGTATCTCTGAGGCCTTTGATCCGTCAAATTCCTTAGCCAATAACCATATCTGCCAACTGATAAACATGTAGCTTGAAGGAAGATCATCATCCTATATAGGAAATAATGTCGTTAGTTTTTGTACTTGGCCCACTGTGCCGACCAACTTTCTTGCCCCTTGCATTTTTTTTTTTTTTCTTAACCAAGAAGTGAGTTCTAGCGCTTTAACTCGAGCAGCTCGCGCTTGCGTGTGGCGTTTTTTTCGTCACGCTTCAACTGCAGCGCTGTCGCAACATGAGTTTTTACTTTTATTTCTACCAACCGCTCCCTATTTCTATTCACTATTTGCAGCTTATTCTAAAATTGTCTTCATTATTTTCTAGATGCCCAAAGAATTTCACACCCGTACATCGTACATACGATCAAGATGCCGATGCCGATTTATGGCGTGAAAATAATATACTCTTTGGCCGCCAAACCACACGCTATTTATGCTTATCGAAGACTGAGGGCTTGCCCGAGTACGTAGTGGAGACGCTCAAGTAAGTAATGGAAAAAATACTTAAGTTTGTCTAAATATTCTTGCAAGTATATCTTTGTGTATCTAGGAGTAAATAATTTACATTATATGCATGTGTGTGTGTATGTATAGTTTATAATCATTTAATTAATCGTGTGTTTGTTTTTCTAGATAGGCGGATATGTACTTTAGTTGGGTGAATGGTTGAGCAGCGAACGAGTGTGGAAATTTTCGATATTGGTGTGCAAATTCTTTTATAAATCTATTTTGCCAAATTGATTTATTTATACATATGTATGTACATATCGTTACCTTAATATAGAAATGCCCTAACTCATTTTCTATTCAAATCCAGTATTGTATAAAAGTCTGCCGATAACTGACTAAGCATCTACTGGATTTTAAAAATTTCTACTACGGCATAAAATTAGTTACACTCTTAAATAAAAACAGCCTTTAAAAGAAATTCGCAGCAAAAGGACTCATTACTTCGTAAAGAAATTAAAATTTTAGATAGCACCTTTCTATATTAAGGTAACGATACGTACGTACGTATATTCAACTGTAGAACTATTTATTTTCTTTTAATTCTTATTTTCATTTTGGTATTTACGCTCGAATTTTCCGCTCCGCTAGTTCCTGTTTGCCAACCGCATGACGAGTATAATCAATTGCTGCACTTTCTGTGGCGTTCTGTTCGATTCCCTCGCAATGCAGGTGCAATTTTTTCTGCTTTGTGTGTTCTAAAAATAACCCCTTTTGCTTGGTGAGCTCTCGAAATGTGCCAATAGCGCATGCAACAGTGAAATTATGTATACAATTGGTAATCGTTTGTCCAGTTCAATATGCAAATGACTCATTGAGACCTTGACTAATTGATTCGCTTTACATACTTAAATATATTTACGCGTGTTATAAAAGCTCAATCTATGTGAATAGCTAATTATGTCAATTTAAAAGCGTTTGCTTTTCAGTTGTTTGCTATTTTTAATTAGATTTTGAACAATAGCGCCGAAAGGTGCTTTCCAAAGTGAACAAAGTATTTACAAACTGGAAACAGAAAGCTTTTTGGGAAACTTCAAATGTTTCCTTAGTGATGCGATGATGCGCAGCTTTCTGTTGCTATCATAAGAAATGTCAAATTTAAAATTAGCTTCTGCGACAATCTTGAATAAGTTCTATCAAAAATGGTGTCGTATATGAACTATCTGCCTAACAAAAACTCCCAAAGTCTAACAGCAACTGGGATTCATCGTTGTGCAGCGAAAGGTTAGACAATTAGTTATTAGTTAGACATTCCCACGACAGCCGGTTCTACGTACCGGAATGACTCGGGTTTCACCCGACCAAGGGCTGTTGTTTCGGCGTTCTAACCCCGTTTAGGTCGGCGAAGTATCTTAGAAGTTGTCCGTCCATAGGGCTACATTCACTACGCATTCTCCTACTCAGGGCTGGCATCGAGTCAAACCCTGGGCCAGAAACATACACCTGCTGTGTATGCCGAAGACGATTACACCACAACTCCACCTCAGTCAAGTGTAATGCCTGTGAGGGGTGGAGTCACCTCAGGGTCTGCTCGGGACTACGGACACACAGACAGTGGACCACGTCGTACGTGGCCCCCTGTTGCTCAAATAGAGCAGCCTCCACGGCTAACCATAGTCCGCCCGTGCTGCCCCACACACTCACACAGCAGCCACACACAGTCACCACAACACAACAACAAAATAACACCACAGACCGTACCATAGCCACTACAGACCGCATAACACACACAACCGCACCACCACTCACGCGCCGCCGCCAACAACTCCTGGTTCCCCCTACAATCTGCACGGTATGTCAGACCAGGATATTCCGTAATGTGACATCAGTCAAGTGCAACACCTGCCTTGGCTGGTGCCACTTTAGGGCATGCTCAGGTCTGCGTACCACGCGAGATTGGACGGGGAACTTCGAGGGCCCGTGTTGCGCTGCTCGGTCGCAGAC